TCTCTCTCTCTCTCTCTCTCTCTCTCTCTCTCTCTCTCTCTCTAACTTATATAAACATGGCTTCTACAAATCTTATGAAAACGCTAGAAAGGCATAACAAGCAAATTCAAGTAAACTGAAACACATCGACACAATAAACATCTTCCGGAGGTTGAAAATAGTCAGACAGACAAACATAAACAACATTAAGTTATAACAGAGAAATACGACCTACCAGGAACGCCCTCCGACCTAGGCCTTCTCAGCTAGCCTCCGACCAATTACTCACGAGACAGACCAGACACCAAACAGAAAAAGTACAAAGATTAAAACAAAACTGAACTCACCGCGTTTTTACCGGCTACGAAATCAGCCATCCTGAGGGGTTGATGATCTTGAACTGACGTCAAAACGTCCAGGTACAGAACGTCATGCAGTTAGCAAAAGTCTCCACGCCAAGTTTTGAATCACAGGAATAAAAATGTCCACCACACTCTCTTCTGAGTAAATTTCAAATGTGTCGTTCACATGTTTGTCAGAAGATTTCCGCCATAACTATAATGAAGAACAACGAACGATTATATTTTGTCAAAACCCAACAAAATTCCCACCAAACGTTAACTGCTATCTATAATAATTCAATTCAGCTTCAATTAAGCAACAAAATGGACTTAACGAACCTAGCTTGATATTTCATTTCAAACAGTATTAGCTCAAAGTAAAATTAAATAAAAAGTATAAATAAATTATAATAGCCCATCATTAATAGTATTGTGCCTCTAAAGGAAATTTAATCCGCGTTTGCTCAAAGTTACTTTTACTTTTTGAAAGGAAAATAAAACTGACACAATACACGAAAACAAAAGTATTACAAAGGAGAGGAAAAGATGCAATGCTTGAAACTCAATTTAAACACAGTTGTTGAATGAGGTATAAACACAGTTTCGGAATGTAATATAAACGTTATTGCTGAATGTGTTATAACACAGCTGTCATGGACACAGTTGCCGAATGTAGTATGAACGTAGTTGCTTCAGATATCCAAGAGTGTGAAATCGCAGCTTGATATTCACACCTTGGCCTGGTGACTTTTGGCTTTTTCTTTTATCCCAGTGGGTCACAGCATCTGAGGAACGGAAAATAAATGGTCATCAGTTTGTTTAGACACAGTCAAATTTATATTTTCAAGAAAAAAGCGCAAATTTTTCAGTAACATCTTATTTATCTAAAATACTAACTTTGTACGTCCCCAGAAGCTCTCGTAGTGATAGTTTAGGCCTGCTATCATTTAAAAAACCGTCTACATGACAACAAACATAATAATGATATTATTATTATTATTATTATTATTATTATTGTTATTATTATTATTATTATTAT